GAGCCCCGCGCCAGGAGCGGGCAGAGCGGCCGGGACCGACACAGCTCCGGGGCTCCCGCCTGCCGGCCCGGCAGAGCCCGCCCCGCCTCCGCATGGCTCTGCCGCTCCCCGGCAGCTGCCCGGCCGCCAAATTCCCGCTGCACCTCAGCAATTCCCCGGGGAATGCCAGGAGTGCTCCCGTGCAGGGGTGTAAGGGGGCAAAAGGATAAACCTCAGGATAATACAAATGGGGGAGGTACTTTAAGTGGAAAGGGAAAGCATGGATGATGCTTTTCTATGGATCTGAATTAAGGGGAAAATGCCCCCTTTTCCATCACCAGAGAGGTTTAACGCAAGGAAAACCACTCTTTTCCCCAATATCTGCGGGGTTTAAATTAAAAGGGAGAAGCCATTTCTTTACCACTGCCTCTGTTTAAATGGAGTTAGCTGTCCCATTTGGTCATTTTAAGTGTTGCCTTTTCCAGCATTTCAAGGGTTTAAAGCTGCATTTCAGGGCACTTTTACCCACACCCCGGCACCAAATATCTCCAACGGGGGCGAGGCCAGCAGGTATGTAATGGTAATGCCACCTGGGAGTCCATTCTTTTTCTTATTTTCATTTATAACGTAGAGAGCCCTGATTAAAGGTCCCTATGAGACACCATTCAAATCAATACTATTCTTCTCCACCCTAATTAACCACAGGTGGAATGCTACTTAGTAATCACTGAAAAATAATTATGGAAGTCCATAAATTATCCAACTTAACTGGCAACACTGCTGAAACACAAAGTTTTTCTTCTTACCTTTTTTTTCTCCTTTGCTTCATTGTTCTGAGTAATTGTAGCAAAAAAGAAAACACTGTTTTTTCTCAGAGTTTTCTTCTGTGCAGAGCTCCTTACCTCAAATTTAACTCAGAGAAGCCAAACAGCTACAGTCCCTTTGAGGGCCTTTATACCCGCTGGGATTTGCCGCCTCCCCTTTCCCAGGCATCGTGGGAAAAAGAGGCGGGCCCAATTAGGGGTATATTAACCCCAGGCTGTGCTAAGGGGCATTATTCCTTCCAGGGGAATCAGCAGGGGTAAAGAGCTCCTCTCTCATTTCAGTGAAGAGGCTCTTTCAGTTTGCTTCAGCCTGCTAAGAGCAGGCATCTTTTTGGGCATTTGAAGCAGCAGAAGTTTTGAAAACACCTTGAAGAAAGCAATATAGAATACAGGGAGTATTTAATTTCTTGATTTTGGGTTGGGGGTTCAGGGGCAATAAGATGCTTCTATAATGACTCTTCTCCTTGGATTTTTTTTTAGGAGGATTGCAATTTCCAGAAGTTCTAGGTCATATCAAGTGCGATACTTCAGATTCTCTCAGCAGATTCATCGTAACACAAAAGGGAACCGCCCCCGCAGCAGCTTTCCTTAGCAGCGGATCGTCCCCTCGCACAGATTCACTTCAGAGAGATAAGACAAGGGCTGTGGTCACAGAGGGGATAAAAACAGGGCGGTGGGGTAGGATTCACACCGGTTAGGGGTTTTGAGTCAGCTATGCAGGGGGGAAGGTTTGAGAAATGGCCTCTGGGGCCACAGTGAGGGAAAGCCTCACTTTAGCTAACGATGCTGAGGTGGGCAGGGCAGAGCAGTCCCAGGGTGGGTTGTCACTTGTCTCTTGTGCTTTCTGTATCTTCTGTGCATCTCGTGTAATGTTTCTCTTGCCTTAGCTCTTCCAGGAGCTTATAAGAAACCCCAGGTCCTTCCGTTCATCTCCCATCTTCGCGTTCCTCGGTCCGACGCCGGCAAAGCTTCGATTCGGGAGCTCGGACACGCATCAGAATCACATCAGTCTTTAGAAGCACGTGATCATATGTTTCTTTAGGTCTCATTCTCTGTGTTGACAGCTATGTGCAGCAATGTTTCTTTACAGTGGATAAGGACTTGTGCCGATTCAAAGGCAGGCAGAGGCTTCCAGCCACAGGATTCTCGGGCATCCGTCTCTGCGGTTCTTGGAAAAAGTTGTTCCTTTAGCGTCTTTTTCCTCCAGGGTCATCTGAGCCCGGCAGGCTCGCCTCGGGTCCCTCCTAGGTCATCTCGTTCAGCATTCTCTCGGTCCTCGTGAGGACTTTCTTGTCTCAGGGATTTTTCTCTCCCTGTCACGTCCCCTCGTCTCACGTGTCACGGGTGTCTGGGGGCATTCGGTCCGGAGCTGCTCTGCCCTGCCGCCCAGCCCGGTTGTAGGTGTTTAAGGACAAGTCTCGGGCACTTGTAATCGGAGACTTGTAGTACGGGCTGTAGTTGGAGTCTAGGTGGTATTCTTATGTTGGCAGAAGGTGTTTGGAGCTGTGAAGTTACCCTGCAGCACTTTGACTTTTTTCCTAACTTTCTTTCAGATGCAGACGGTTTGACCTCGTGGCAGAGCAGCTATCCCAGATGATGGGGGTCCCCCTGCGAAGGTCGGTCACGGTTTTTCTTTGCAGCGGGGCTGGAACCGGTCACTGTGTTACATCTCTGCTCTTTGTCTTTGTTTCTAGGAAGTAAAGCCAGAAAGCAGCAGGGAGGGCGAAGCAGGTGGAAGGTGAGCCCTGGTTGGTGAAGAGCAGCCGTTGTTCCTGCTGGGGTCTCAGTTTCTGGTGCAACTCCAAGCATCCCTGCTTGTTTGTGTGTTTTAGGCTGCCTCCTCATGCTGTGCTGAGGCCCCCTCACTGACCTGCCAAGAGACCCGGTTTGCTTCACTCATTTGCTGGTGAGCCCCAGCAAATATTACCGGAGTCCGTGACGAAGCCTCGACCTCATCCACGTGTCGGTGCGGTCCCGGTACCCTTTTAGGTGCGGTCGAGGAGTTGCGGTGAGTCGGAAGGAGCGGCGAGGGCGCGCTCAAGTTTTAGCGACGCTACATCGCCTCCTCTCCGTTTATCCTAGGCGAACCCTGCGACGACGGCGTCCGCCTCGGAGCATGGCTGAAGCGTGAGGCCCGAGGACCTGGGAGTTCCTAAGAGACGGTGAGTAGGAGTTGGGTTTTGGTGAATATGATAGTAAGATAGTGCACTTATATTTGGTTTTCTTTATCATAGGTGATGATACTTGTCTGAGACAACAGCCTGGTGAGAGAAGAACTTCCCAGACAGTGAGGTGGCTTTGTTTGGCTCCCGACCGGCCTCTCGCCGTGACTCACATCTTCAGCCCTCTGAGAGATAAGTGGAGCCCACAGAGGGGATCAAGGCAGGGCGGCGGTCGGGACTGAGATCGGTTTGGGTTTTTGAGTGAGCTTTGGGGATGCGGAGGTTTTGGAAATGATCCCATAGGCCCCAGTGAGGGAAAGCCTCACTTTGGTTTGCAATGCTGAGGCAGGCAGGGCAGAGCAGTCCCAGGGTGTGTTGTCACTTGTCTCTCGTGCCTTCTGTGCCTTCTGTGCATCTCGTGTAATGTGTCTCTTGCCTTAGCCCTCCCAGGGGCATATGAGAAACCCTGGGGTCCTTCCGTTCATCTCCCATCTTTGCGTTCCTCGGCTGGACACCGGCGAAGGTTCGATTCGGGAGGTCGGACACATGTCAGAATTGCATCTGTCTTCAGAAGCACGTGATCTTTTTAGGTCTCGTTCTCAGCTGTGTCAACAGCTATATGCAGCAATGTCTCTTTACAGTGGATAAGGACTTGTGCCGATTCAAAGGCAGGCAGAGGCTTCCAGCCACAGGATTCTCGGGCATCCGTCTCTGCGGTTCTTGGAAAATAGTTGTTCCGTTAGCATCTTTTTCCTCCAGGGTCATCCGAGCCCGACAGGCTCGCCTCGGGTCCCTCCTCGGTCATCTCGTTCAGCATTCTCTCGGTCCTCGTGAGGACTTTCTTGTCTCAGGGAGTTTTCTCTCCCTGTCACGTCCCCTCGTCTCACGTGTCACGGGTGTCTGGGGGCATTTGGTCCGGAGCTGCTCTGCCCTGCCGCCCAGCCTGGTTGTAGGTGTTTAAGGACAAGTCCCGGGCACTTGTAATTGGAGATTTGTAATACGGGCTGTAGTTGGAGTCTAGCTGGTATTCTTATGTTGGCAGCAGGTGTCTGGAGCTGTGAAGTTACCCTGCAACAGTTTGACTTTTTTCCTAACTCTTTCAGATGCAGACGGTTTGACGTCATGGCAGAGCAGCTATCCCAGATGAGGGGGTCCCCCTGAAAAGGTCGGTCACGGTTTTTCTTTGCAGCGGGGCTGGAACCGATCACTGTGTTACATCTCTGCTCTTTGTCTTTATTTCTAGGAAGTAAAGCCGGATAGCAGCAGAGAAGGTGAAGCATTGCGAAG